GAATGTAATTATGGATATAATCCTTGTCAATCCACTTGGCTATATACCTAGACTCCAAATATCCATGAGCTATGGTTCTGAGGTGCTATCATTTTACATACAGATATTCTTCAACTTACAACATTTCATTTAGTGACTGTTCCAATTTACCATGGCACTGAAAAAGTGACTTATAACTGCTTTTCACACTTATGACCATTGCAGCATCCCCATGGTAACATGATCAAAATTCAGACACTTGGCAATTGACTCGTATTATGACGATTGCAGTGTCCTGGGGTCATGTGATCACCATTTGGGAACTTCTGATAGGCAAAGTCAATGCGAAAGCCAGATTCATTTAACTGTGTTATTAATTTAACAACTGCAATGTGGCAAGAAAGCTTGTAAAATGGAGCAAAATTCACTTAACTGTCTCGTTTAATGTTGGGCTCAATTGTGGTTATAAGTCGAGGACTACCTACACATTCATTCACACTATCAACATTCACTAGATTACACATTAAATTACAATCTAACCAATCACAGGATAGTATACTGGGCTGTAGAAACCCCAAATCTGTGATTAATTTGTGACTGCTGGATCACCAAGTAAGATCATAATGTTAAGTAATCACACAGAAGTTCAGTTTCTCATGGGCAAGCATGCCTTTGCCCTCACAGGATCCCTGCCCCTGAGATTGTTGGGTGTGAGTCTCTCCTCTTGAGGTTGGACTCAGGGGCTCAGTTCGGCTTGTTGTTGACGTACCTGCCTCCCAGCTGCGTTATGACAGCCCTGCCTGTCCTGCAAGAGGCAGTAGCCGGGCTGGTGGTGGAGTTATGGTACTGGGGGACTTCAACTTGCCATCACTTGGCGAATCCTCAGTTGCGGCTCAGGAGTTCATGGCTTCCATGACAACCATGGACCTGACCCAAGTAGTTCAGGGTCTGACCTGATGGTTCTCTCGGGGCAGTGGAGATATGATCTGGAATTAAGGGGTATAGATGCTTCTCCCTTGTCGTAGTCAGATCATTTCCTGCTGAGGTTAGACTTCAAGGCGCTACTCCTCCATCGCAGGGAGGCGGAGCTGATTAAGTGGTTCCGCCCCAGGCGCCTAATGGACCCTGAAGGGTTCCAGAAGGAGTTTGGGGAGATATCTGACTCCCTTGTCCACAGTCCGGCTGAGTCCCTGGTGGCTGCACTGGACCGGATTGCGCCTTTGCGACCTCTCCATGGTGGTGGATCCAGGAAAGCTCCCTGGTTTACCGAGGAGCTCCGGGAGATGAAGCACCAGAAGAGACGTCTAGAGCGACGCTGGAGGACCAGTAACTCTGAATTTGACCGAACACTCTTAAGAACCTTTATTAGGACTTAGTTAGTAGCGATACGGGCGGCAAAATGTTCGCATTTTTCCGCACTTATTGCATCCGCTGATTCTCACCCAGCCGCCCTATTTAGGGTGACTCGCTCCCTCCTTAATGTAGGGGGAGTGAAGGAGCCCTTGCAGGGTAGAGCTGAGGAGTTTGTGCAGTTTCTGTCGGATAAAGTCGCTCAGATTCGGATGGACCTGGACTCTGATTGGGCAATTCCGACCAAGATGACGGGGCAGGTCTTAGTCCTATTGTGTGGGATGAATTTGAGCCTGTGACTCCTGAGGAAATGGACAAGGCTGTAGAAGCGATGAGTTCCTCCACTTGTTTGTTGGACCTGTGCCCCTCCTGGCTGGTTTTGACCAGCAGGGAGGTGACACGAGGCTGGCTCCAGGCTTTAGTTAATGCATCCTTGAGGGAAAGATCCTTCCTGCAACCATTATAGGAAGTGGTTGTAAGGTCCCTCCTCAAGAAGCCTTCCCTGGATCCAGCAGAATTAAAGAACTTTCATCCAGTCTCCAACCTACCCTTTGTGGGAAAGGTTGTAGAGAAAGTGGTGGCACTTCAGCTCCTGCAGTCATTGGATGAAACGGATTATCTAGACCTTTTTCAGTCTGGCTTCAGGCCTGGCTACAGCACAGAAACTGCTTTGATCATGCTGATGGGTGATCTCTGGCGAGCCCGAGATGGGGGTCATTCCTGTATCTTGGTGCTACTTGACCTCTCAGCAGCTTTCGATACCATTGACCATGGTATCCTTCTAGGACGACTAAGGGAGTTGGGAGTGGGAAGCACCGTGTTACGGTGGTTCTCTTCCTATCTCTCTGGTCGGTCACAGTCGGTGTTGGCAGGAGGGCAGAGGTCGACCCCTAAGCCCCTCATTTGCGGGTGCCTCAGGGCTTGGTCCTCTCTCCCCTCCTATTTAACATCTACATGAAGCCACTGGGTGAGATCATCCGACGATACGGGGTGGGGTATCAGCAATATGCTGATGATATCCAGCTGTATATCTCCACCCTGCGTCAGTTCAGTGAAGCAGTGGATGTGATGTGCCAGTGCCTGGAGGCTGTGAGGGTCTGGATGGGAGTCAACAGGCTCAGACTTAACCCAGATAAGACCGAGTGGCTGTGGGTATTGCCTCCTAAAGACTATGTCGATTGTCCATCCCTGGTTCTGGCAGGGGGAGAAATTGTCCCCCTCAGAGCAGGTTCACAATTTGGGAGTCCTTATAGACTCACAGCTAAGATTAGAGCAACATCTAGCAGCTGTGGCTAGGGGGACCTTTGCACAGGTTCGCCTGGTGCACCAATTGCGACCCTACTTGGATCAGGAGGCTCTCCTCACAGTCACTCATGCCCTTGTCACCTCACAGTTAGATTATTGCAACGCGCTCTACATGGGGCTACCCTTGAAGAGTGTTCGGAGACTACAGTTGGTCCAGAATGCAGCTGCGCGAGCTATTGTGGGTGCACCTAGATGCACCCACATTACACCAATTCTCCGTGAGTTGCACTGGCTCCCTATTGGCCTCCAGTCACAATTCAAGGTGTTGGTTATTACCTTTAAAGCCCTACATGGCTCAGGGCCAGGCTATCTTCGAGACCACTTTCTATCGCATAGCTCCCACCAACCGGTAAGATCCCATAGAGTTGGTCTCCTCCAGGTCCTGTCAGCTAAACAATGCCGGCTGGCGGGCCCGCAGGGGAGGGCCTTCTCTGTGGCTGCCCCAGCTCTCTGAAACCAGTTACCTCCTGAGGTCCGGACTACCCCCACCCTATTGGCCTTCCGGAAAGCAGTGAAGACCTGGCTTTTCCGGCAGGTCTGGGGCCGTTGATCTCGCTGTTCAATCTTGTGAGATCCGGCCATGGATGGTGTGCATGTGTTTTAATGTTTTTAAAATGCTTTTATAATGTTTTTTTTAAAAAAATATGTTCATTGTTTGTATTATTTTTGTTGTAAGCTGCCCAGAGTCCCTTGGGAGTTGGGCGGCATAGAAATATGATTAATTAAATTAAATTAAATTAAATTTTTAAAAACTAAGCTAGTGTTAAATCTTCAGCAAAACTAGGTCTTCCATCTTCTGGCCTGTGAAGCCACATCAAGTAAGGAAATCTTCTAGAAGAGAATATATGTAGCTCAGAGTTGAACTGTGGAATCCTCAGTGCTCTCTAAGCTGAGTTGTTTGCTTGCAGATATTTCATTACCCATCTATGGTATATCATCACAGATCAAATCCCACACTGGCTAATACTGATGACGTTACTAGCTGGGCAACGAAATGTCTGTAAGAAAACAACTAAACTCAGAGAGCACCAAGGACCAAGAGCAGATGACACCAAGCTAACAGGAATAGCCAACACTCCGGAAGATAGGCTTAAGATACAGAAGGATCTTGACAGACTTGAACATTGGGCGCTATCTAACAAAATGAAATTCAATGGTGAAAAAAAGTAAGGTTCTACATTTAGGCAAGGAAAACAAAATGCACAGGTACCGTATATGTGGTACCTTGCTCAATAGTAGTAACTGTGAGAGGGATCTTGGAGTCCTAGTGGACAACCATTTCAATATGAGCCAGCATTGTGCAGCAGCTGCCAAAAAAGCCAACACAGTTCTAGGCTGCATAAACAGAGGGATAGAATCAAGATCATGTGAAGTGTTAATAGCACTTTATAATGCCTTGGTAAGGCCACACTTGGAATACTGCATCCAGGTTTGGTCGCCAAGATGTAAAAAAGATGTGGAGACCCTAGAAAGAGTGCAGAGAAGAGCAACAAAGATGATTAGGGGACTGGAGGCTAAAACATATGAAGAACAGTTGCAGGAACTGGGTATGTCTAGTTTAAGACCAGGGGTGACATGATAGCAGTGTTAAAATATTTGAAGGGCTGCCACAAAGAAGAGGGAGTCAAAGCTATTCTCCAAAGCACCTGAGGGCAGGACAAGAAGCAATGGGTGGAAACTAATCAAGGAGAGAAGCAACCTAGAACCAAAGAGAAATTTCCTGACAGTTAGAACAATTAACCAGTGGAACAACTTGCCTGCAGAAGTTGTGAATGCTCCAACACTGGAAATTTTTAAGAAGATGTTGGATAACCATTTGTCTGAAGTGATGTAGGGTTTCCTGCCTAAGTAGGGGGTTGAACTAGAGGACCTCCAAGGTCCCTTCCAACTCTGTTATTCTACTCTACTCTACTCTACTCTACTCTACTCTACTCTACTCTACTCTACTCTACTCTACTCTACTACTGTACTGTACTGTACTGTACTGTGCTGTACTCCATTCCATTCCATTCCATTCCTCACAGAAATCCTGTGCACGGTTATTTTGACATTTCAGTGGAGCTTGTTTTCAAGTAGACACACAATGGGTTCCACTCAAAAGACTCTGAAGTCAAAAAGGTTAGTTTTTAGTTGACATCTAACTCCTATGGCATCCATCAGCTGGCAAAATATGGATTCTCAGCCTCAGTTCCCTCTCTTGTTTGTGCAAACTAGGGACAATAATATTTCTCTGCAGAGTAGGAGAATTGAAAGTGTCATTAGCCTACAAAGTGTGACAAATGTTTGGACGCTCACAAGTGCTATATCAGTCTCAAGCTACAGTCCCTTCCATTTTTTTAAAAAAAAAATTAGGAACCTGTACTTACTATTTTTGAGGTAACACAACAGACAGGTGTTGGAGACGGTGGCTTGGCAGCACCCTGCCCTGGAGGCAGGCTAAACCTTTGGCCAGTATCTGGAGGAGAAGAGGGGGTGTGAATCCGTGTTTCCAGCCTTTCCGGTTCATGTCTGTAGCATTCAAGTGGAAATGCCGGCTGCTTGGTTCCCTGGGTGGGAGTTGATGGTGAAGAGGAAAGCCCAGAAGCTAAAAATGAAATACAACAGAACAGAGCAGGTTAGTCCACCTCCACCTTCACATTGAGTAAATCATCCAGGTTTTAAAAAAATTTTAACACCTTGCTCTCAACACGTCCCAATTGTGCTTTTCTTGGTTTTTTTCTTTGAAAACATTTCACATCTCACATCCAAAAAGCTTCTGAAGAACTGAAGAAGCTTCTTGGATGAGAAGCAAAATGTTTTCAAAGAAAAAAAACAAAGGAAGTCCAGTTGCCTTTTGGAAAAGCACAATTGGGACAACCATGATCTGGATGACTGAGCTACTTGCTGTCCCCAGTTGATTTTCACCACATCCTAAACCCAACTGTACACATCGCATCATGGTTTGGTGTGCCATGAGGATTGCTTAGAAGGAAAATCTATTATGCTCTTCTCTTACAAACTTAAATCAGCATAAACCTTTGGCATGGCATACAAATTTAATAATAAAAAAGAAAGAAAGAAAAGAGCCTCTCTCTATTTCTCCAATAGTGGAAAAATCAGGAGATGTATTTCAAGAGTGAGCCCATTCAGGAGTAGGTTCCTCAAATGCCTTAGAGCAGTGTTTCTCAACCTTGGTAACTTGAAGATGGGTGGACTTCAACTCCCAGATTCTGGGAGTTGAAGTCCACCATCTTCAAGCTTCCAAGGTTGAGAAACACTGCCTTAGAGGTAGTCCTTGTCTTACAACCATTTGTTTAAGTTACACTGGCTCTGAAACAAAAAATAGATTTATGACACACTTAAGACTGTTGCCACATCCCTATGGGTCAGAGGATCAAAATTCAGGGACTTGGCCATGGGCATGTATTTATAATGATTTCAGAATCCTGGAATCAGCTGACCTTCCCAGCCAACTTCCAACTAGCAATGTCAATGGGGGAAGCCAGACTTGCTCAATGACCATATGATTTGCTTAACAACTGCAGTGATTTGCTTAACGGCCATGGCAAAAAAGGTCATAATCGTGGGTGTAACCATTTTCCTCAGCAACATAAATTTTGGTTCCAATGATGGTTGTAAGTCAAGGACCACTGGAGAGTACTTCTATTGAGGCAGATCCAGAACCAACTTGTTGGTGTTCCATTCACATAATTAAAACCTCCCTTGAAAAGTAAAAAGGCCTCTCTCCTATTTTGCAGGCTGCCTGTCTTAAACTATGGTAAGATTTACATTGACTTTTCATTTATGATCACAAGCGGACCAAATACTTGTAAACTTTTTAAAAATATTATTTTCAACATTGCCCCCACCCCCACCCCACCCTTTTGCCAATACAGTATCTAGCTTCCTAGCTGTATTTATGGTGCCACTGCTATCCAACAAGTCTTCATTTTGAATTGGCCTCTCTATTTTGGAATTTAGCAAGTGTCTTTGATGATGGCTCTTTGCTTTATTGTATTGTCCCTGTATGAGTGGTATCTGCTGAGCAGTTGTGGGTTATGAAGATACCAATGCAAATGGATTTGCCACCTCTCCCTACCTCAAAAGGGAGCCAGTTTGGTGTAGCGATTAAGATGCTGCCCCAGCAGCATGTGAATTCTAGTCCCACTTTAGGCACAAAACCTGGCTGGGTGACTTTGAGACAATCACCAGGAGAAGGGGATGGTGAGTTCTGGTCCCATTTTAGGCATGAAACCCAGCTGGGTGACTTAGAGTCAATCAGCAGGAAACAGTGAGTTCTACTCCTGCCTTAGGCACAAAAGCTAGCTTGGGTGACTTTGAGCCCATCAGCAACAGATGGTGAGTTCTAGTCCTGCCTCAGGCACAAAAAACAGCTGACAGTGGGTACTAGTTCTGCCTTAGGCCTGAAAGCAGGTTGGAGAACCTTGGGTCATTCACTCTCAACCCAACCACCCTACAGGGTTGTTGTGAGGAAACTAGGAAGAATTATTTATACAAAGCAATGAAAAGGCAGGATAAAAAAATTATTAAAAGCTTTCAAGTGAAAAGGATTTCGGCAGTAATTCTCCATTCTCCGTTCCTACCACCCTTCTAGGAAAAGAAGCTTTGCAAAGAGAAAATACCAGACTGTCTTCCATCTGCTGAGTGGAATAAGTACGTTTGGATAAGTAATCGAAAAAGGAATTTTGTTTGAAGAGTTAAAACAAAGCTTTAAAAATGTACCAGCAGCAGTTTGGGCCAAAATCATGAAAATGCTCACCAGATTGTTGAGGAGGACACTTCTTATTTTAGATGTTGCCATGGAAAAGGGGATGCTTCTACGAAGTTTTTTTAAAAAGCCCCAAATGGGCTTTGCTTAAGTAGATTTAAGAAGTGGAAGGCTTTCAGACTACACAAAGATGGGTGTAACGTTGTGGATCCATGGGGAAATAGATCACAGGATCCTTAGTGTATGGGACCTGAGTTATAGCTCAGACTTGTGCTCTCTTTTAAATGTCGATATACTATAATCCTGCCTTTGAAGGAATGAAGCCTTGCCAGGAATGGAAGGGAGTGAAAACAGAAGAATTGAAAAAGAGCATGGAAGAAAGATTGGGGGGTGGGGAGAGATAAAGCATATAGACAAGAATGGAGTTGGGTTACAATCTCATGGAAAAGAAGAATTGAAAAGCAAGAAAGAAGAACTTACGTTGTGTGAATGGAAAATGATGGCCTTTAATATGGTAACCCATTAGTTTTACGGTCGCTATGAATCCCTCAGTGCACTACCAGAGGACATGGCAAGCCAAGAAGAATGGCCAACATGTTATGGTTGGTTGGTTGCTTTTACTTTTTTGTAGACACCGGCACCGTGTTTCCCCGAAAATAAGACCCTGTCTTATATTTTTTTTGAACCCTGAAATAAGTGCTTGCTCTCAAAAGCCTGATTGGGCTTATTATCAGGGGATGTCTTATTTTAGAGGAAACACGGTAGTCCTTGACATACAAGCATTCGTTTAACGTCCATTTGAAATTACAGCAGCACTGAAAAAAAACACTGTGACTGGTCTTTGCAGTAATGACTATCGTGTGATCAAAATTTGGGCACTTGGCGAGTGGCATGTATTTTGCAACAGTTGCAGGTGTCCAGGGGTCAGGCGATCACTTTTTGTGAGCTTCCCAGACAGCTTCCAATAAGCAGAGTCAATAGGAAGAAGCCAGGTTCACCTAACAACTGCAGTGATTTGCTTAATAACTGTGGCAAAAGAGATTGTAATATTGGGTGTTACTCACTCAATAATCACCTTGCTTAGCAATAGAAATTGTGATCCCAGTTCCGCTCACAATTCGAGGACAACTTGAAGTGATGGTAGAAAGAATGTGACCCAATCACAATCATGTTCAATCACATTATCAACATGCCTGCAGGCGTTTTAAAAGGACTGGGTCCAAGAGAGGTGCTCCAGCCTCCCACTGCTCTAAAGGACAGGAGAAGAGTTAATCATAAACCAATTTCCCTATCCAGGTATGTCTGAATTGTAGTCAGTGCTGGGTTTCACATATTCTTATCAGTGGTTCGCCTCGTGCAATGCATGCGTGCCTTCTGCACATGTGCCCAGCCTCGAAAGTGTGGCTAAATAGGATGGCATTACACTGGGACAGGTGGGCGGCGCATTGCCGCTACCGATTCTCTTGAACCGGTACGAACCGGCTGAACACCACCTCTGATTGTAATACATTCTTCAGAAAAAGGATTTGGAACAGAGGCTTTGAAATGCACAAAAGTGCAAGTACACTGCCCTTTTTAAAGCAACTGCATCTTATTCAAAGCTCCTGCAAAGCCTGGGAAGTGTGTATCAGGCTCCAGAAATCAAGAAAGACACACACTGTGGTGGGTTGCCCCCGGTAAGCACTGGTTCTATAGAACGGTAATAAAACTGGCGGGAAGCTCCGCCCACTGACCCTGACGTCATCAAAACGCTTCTGCGCATGCGCAGAAGCTCGCACGCGCATGTGGCCCCGGTGCAAACCAGTAGTAAAAGTAAGTAGAACCCACCCCTGGACACACAGTGTTACTTTTAAACTCTTTCCTTTATTGTTCCTCACGCATAGAAACCTTGCCGAACTATAAAACAACCCGTTTGCATCATTAAAGATCTGAGAATTGCTAGGGTGGAGCCATTTTAACTCTTTCTCCCAACCAAACAATCTAAACTTTGCTGTCTCTTTGTCCTCTGGAATGCAGTCCCTCCTTCTTGGGAATCCAGACAAAATTTCACCATAAGGGAACAAGGCTGCTTTAATGAGCCAGCTCTTTAAAGTAGCTGCATCTTTTTCTAGGCTCACATAGATTCCTGAAATAATATATAATGACTCTTTAAGAAATGCTGTGTGGATATTTCCACACCTTCGAAAGCATATCTCCGGAACAATATTTGAAGTGCCCGGCTCTAAAATTCAGTACTTATTCTCAAATAACATTGCTGGCTCCTATTGCTTGCTTCCAAAGAGATTTAATACGTTTTCTTTCTCCCAAGATGTCTTTTAAATATAACCTTTTGTTGAACACATCAAGTGCACAAGCTACCGATGATTAAAATGACCACTAGAAGGAGAAATTGCTGCATCAGCCCTGATTGCTACAACTGGTGGAATAAAATTGCAACAAGCACTAATGGAGTAACAAATCAGTGGAATGGATGTCCGATAACAGGCTGTGCCAAAATAAAAATAACCAGACACGCAGGAGCCAAGCCGCACCATCTGCAGTGTACAGTAATCAACATACCAATAAATAAATATAAGACAGTAAGAGGGATTCAATAAGCGATCATCATACAAATTGCTTTTTTGGAGCGTTTGGAAGCTATATCTATCTTTCTCTTTGACACCTGAGACAATGCTGAGGAGAAGCAGGCTTGGAAAGTGGCAACTTTCAGATGAAATAGCTAAGGGGAAAGCAAACTGGGTATACAGGAAGATGCTGAATGCATTTTCCAGAATTTCTGCACACCTGCTGTACGCGCGCGCATACACACAGCGAGAGCATTTAGGCATGGCTTTCTTGATGCTGGCTCTGTGAGTTGCATAAACCTACCACATGAT